AAAAAAAAAAAAAAAATATATATATATATATATATATACACACACACACACACACATATATATATATAAAATCTTTTTGAGTCTAGGGCTGGGAATGGTGGCTTACCACCTATAATGCCAGCACGTGGGAGGCCAAGGCAGGTGGATTGCCTGAGCTCACAGGTTTGAGACCAGCCTGAGGCAGAGCAAGACCTAGTCTCTAAAAACAGCCAGGTGTTGTGGCAAGCACCTGTAGTCCCAGCTACCTGGGAGGCTGAGGCAAGAGAATCACTTAAGCCTAGGAGTTTGAGCTTGCTGTGAGCTATGACACCATGGCACTCTACCAAGGGTAATAAAGTAAGACTCTGTCTTAAAAAAAAAAAAAAAATCTTTTCAAGTCTGGAAATCACCGACTAAGCCCTCACATTCCAGGTGAAGACACTGGCACCCAGAGATGCCGTGATCATCCCAGGTTTTACAGTTCACTGGGACCACTTTATGTTTGTTTATTTTGAAACAAGGTCTTGTTCTTGCCCAGGCCAGAGTACAGTAGCATCATCACAGCTCACTGCAATCTCAAACTCTTGGGCTTAAGCAGTCCCCAGCCTCCTTAGTAGCTGGGACTACAGGCAAGTGCCACCCTGCCTGGCTAATTTTTCTATTTTTTATATAGGTAGGGTCTCACTGCATTGTTCAGGCTGGTCTCAAACTCCTGGCCTCAAATGATCCTCCCATCTCCACCTCCCAAAATAGTTGGCATTATAGGCGAGAGCCACTGTGCCAGGGGGGTTTTATAGATATTATTTTACATATATCATTTAATCTTCACAACTGTCCTGTACGTTTTTTTTTCTTTTCTTTTTAATGACAAGATCTTGTTCTCTTGCCTAGGCTAGAGTACAATAGTGTGATCATAGCTCATGGTAGCCTTGAATTCTTCAGCTCAAGTGATCCTCCCACCTTAGGCTCCTGAGTTGCAGGGACTATAGGTATATGCCACCATGGCTGGCTCATTTTTCTATTTTTTTGCAGAGATAGGGTCTCACTATATTGCCCAGGCTGATCTTGAACCCCTAGGCTCAAGTGATCCTCCTGCCTTGACCTCCCAAAGTACTAGGATTATAGGCATGAGGCACCACGCTCAGTCTATTTTTATTTTGGACTCTTGTTAACTTTTTTCATCTAACAGAACCTCATTACTGAAGAATGCAGTTAAATTTGTGAATTTGACTAAGTCCTTGTGAGGGCAAGCAGCTTGTTTTCTTTAGCTTCTATCCCTTGTACCTGGTATTTAATAGTTGCTCAGTAAATTTTAGTTGAATAAATTGGGGTATTGATTATACTTGTGTTTTGTAGCGTGTATTTGTGATTGGCATGCCTTCTACAAGCTTCAATTTTTTTTTGGCAGAGACAGAGTCTCACTTTATTGCCCTCAGTGGAGTGCTGTGGCATCACAGCTCACAGCAACCTCCAACTCCTGAGCTTAGGCGAGTCTCTTGCTGCAGCCTCCCGAGTAGCTGGGACTACAGGCACCCTCCACAACACCCGGCTATTTTTTTGTTGTTACAGTTTGGCCAGGGCTGGGCTCGAACCCACCACCCTCCGTATATGAGGCCGGTGCCCTACCCACTGAG